AGAGGGACTGCCCGGCGGCCCCCGAGTCGTCCCCACTGCCCTCGTACTGGCCCAGCGCCGCCAGCCCATTCACCTGCGGAGAAAGGAAATGTCAGTGGCCCCTGTGGGATATGGCCCTGGGGGTCCCCCAGGCCCTGGGGACATGGCCTTCAGGGCCCCCCCGCCCACAGGGACATGGCCCTCTGTGTGCCCCATCCCACAGGGACATGGTCCTCGGTGTCCCCATGCCCTTGCAACACAGCCCTTGGCATCCCCCTCCCATGGGGACAGAGCCCTCGGCGTCCCCCATGCCCCCCAACCCTTGTTGTCCCCCGTCACCCCATGGGACACGGCTTTTGGCATCCCTCTTCCCACAGGTACAGAGCTCTCAATGTCCCATATCACCCTACGGGGCATGGCCCATCCCACAGGGACCTGTCCCTTGGCATCCCCCACTGCCCTCTGAGGACACAGTCCTCACTGTCCCGTATCCCACAGGGAAACAGTCCAGTGTGTGTCCCCACGGGGACCACGGCCTTTGGCATCCCGTCCTGTGGGGCACAGCCCTTGGTGTCCCCACCACCCTATGGGACGCAGCCCTCAGTCCCCCTCTCCCGCGGGGACCGTCCCCATCACCTCTGCACGCTTGACGAACTCCTCGGTGGCGGCGGTGGCGTTGTCCCGCTGCCCGCGCCAGGCGCTGAGCGCCGATGCCTGCAGCGCCCGCCCGTAGGAGAAGGTGAGGGCCCATGGTCGCACCAGCGGGCATGTGTTGATGGCATTGAGGTTGATGGAAGCCTCCTCCTCGCTCTGACCCCCAGACAGGAAGGTGACACCTGCAGAGAGCGGGGTTATGGCACCAGGGGGATCACAGAGCGTCCCCCTCCTGGTCCCCGCCACGTCCTAGTGCCAGTACCTGGCACGGCCGGGGGCACAGTGCGGCGCAGGGCAGTGACAGTGGCCATGGCGATCTCCTCGGGGCTGTACTTGGTGAGGCAGGAGTGCCCAGGGGTCACCATGTTGGGTTTCAGCAGGGTCCCCTCCAGGTAGACGTGGTGGTCGCTCAGTGCCTTGTAGACAGCTGCCAGCACCTGGGGAGGACGGGCAGCGTGGAGTCCCCCGGCACGGCACAGTGTGGCACAGTGCCCGCCCTGCTGCCCGCTCCACTGCTCACCTTCTCCGTCACGTACTGGCACCGCTTGAGGTCGTGGTCACCATCGGGCAGGATCTCTGGCTCCACGATGGGCACAATGCCGTTCTGCAAACACCAGGCAGATGCCGTCACAGGGACATCCCTGGGCATCGCCCCGGCCCCACGGCAATGTGGGCCAATGCCTGGACCTGGGGGGCAATGCTCAGCCCTGAGCTTCAGTGTCCACCCTTGCTGGTGATGCCCGTCCCAGTGGGGTGCTTGGCCCCAGGAGGTGATGCCCAGCCCCATGGGGTGATGCCCAGCCTAGGAAGGTCAGTTCTTGGCCCCACGGATCTGTGCCCATCCCTGTGGGGCAATACCTGGCCCCTTAAGTCAACAGCCATCCTATGGGTCAATGCCCATCCCGCGGGGCGATGCCCGGCCACCAGACACATACCTGCTGGCAGATGCTGGCATAGCGGGCCAGGACGTTGGCGTTCTCCATGATGGCGAGCGCAGAGGGGGTGTTGTCACTGATTTTCAGCACACAGCGCCACTTGGCAAAGTCAGCCCCATCCTTCTTGTACTGGGCACAGCGCTCCGACAGCCCGTCCAGACCTGCCGGGCAGCATGTCAGCCCCACAGCCCCAAACCCCACGGCCCCCGCCCCCCTACCCACTCCACCTACCCTGCGTGGTGGTCTCGCCATCCGTCCCGGCCAGCGGCACGACGCCCTTGTCCACCTGCGGAGAGAAGGGGAAGGCAGCACTGAGCCTCACCAGCACCCTCCAAGCACCCTCAGCAGCCCACAAACCCACCGGACACCCCCCACACCTTGATGCCCACGACGATGCCCTTGTCCTTGATCATCTGGACGAAGGGGGTGCCGTCGTCAGCCTTCTGGTACATGGTCTCGTGGAAGAAGATGACGCCCCCGATGCATTTCTTCACCCGGCTGTCGGCACTGAAGAGGATCTGGCGGTACAGCCGGCGGTTCTCCTCCGTGTTCTCCACCCCGATCTGGTTGAGGCGCTTCGCCATGCTTCCTGCGGGCACCCAGCACCCTCGTCAGCCTCAGGCGTGGGGAAAAGCGGTGGTGGGACAGATCCCCCCCGCACTGACCTACAGATTCATCAGCGGCCAGGATGCCCTTGCCGGGGGCCACGATGCGCAGTGCGATGTCTGACAGCTCCTTCTTCTGCTCGGCCGTCAGCGCGGGATATTGGTGCGTCATGGTGGCGGTGGCTGCAAGCAGACGGCGGCTGAGTCACGCGCCGGCAGGGCGGCCCCCCCGTCTGCCACGCACCCCCATCCTGCGGGGACCGGGGACCCCCGGGCCGGGGACTCCCGGCCCTGCCGGTCCGCGGGGCGGGCGCGGTGCCTAAGCGGGC